CCTGATTTGGAATACCCAGTTGTAGCTTTGCAAAGTCTGTAGTTGTATGTGGAAGGAATTAGCTTTATTGTCTCGTAACAGCCATCCAAGATGATGAACTTGAAGTAGTTCTCAGTTTCATCTGACTTTGTTTCTAGAAAGCTCAGTGATAAGAATCATTTTCCATCTTTGTTTTGCTGTGACTCTTTTGATGCAAAATGGGCCTTCTCTGAGAGATTTACAAACTGCAGCCCACGAAGTGTAACTTTACCCAGAGGTGTAATAACACCCCTTTCATAGCACAAGAATAGGTATTAGTACTACTATAATTTATTTATGAAGGCAGATTAGAAGGCAAGTCGTTTGCTTTTAAAGCTCTTATGCACCTGCCCACTCAAGCGTGCCATTGTTGGCCGACCTTTTGTTTATGCAAAGTTCATCTTGTGCAGAGGTACAGCAGAAGGCCACTTGGCCACTCATTCTGGGAGCACAAGCTGGATCTCAGCACAAGGAGAAGCTAATTTTCCCCCAACACAGCAGCAGCAAGAGGATGAGGTATCAACCATCGTTCCACTCAGTCAAATACCTTCCAGAGTAAATAACCCTAGGACACCGAAGAAGCCACTTGTCCTGTATGTGTATGTCCCATTCTCATGGTCTTGGCACACAGCAGAATTATGTCCCAAATAGCCCACAGGACCCCAACTCTGCACTGCACCAGCCTACCAAGCACAAAATGGTTCAGGAAGTACAAACCACTTTCACACTGCCCCAGCAAGCTACACAGCCATGGGCACACATGGTACTAATACCCAAAATGTGTTCCCTCTGTGTGTTTGGCCACCTTTACAAGGTAGCGTAGAAAAGCCATGCAGAACTTTTAAGATGGTTTGCTGCCCTCAGACCAGGAGGAGGAAGATGTATTCCCACCTCTTCCAGTTCAGGCACAAACAGCGTTCATGAGAACTGTGATACATTCCACACTAAGTGCTTCCTTCCTTGGCATACATCTTGACTTTCAGTCTCTTGGAAAGAGACCGAGTACAAGATGTCCCTAAATTATTTAAAAATAAAAAGTAAGATTGATTGCTTGCTCAACCTTTGTTCTAATGCCATCTTTCAAGCACACTTATCTTTAAACTTTTTATCATTACCACCTTGTTAAAGTTTGCAGTATTCAGTTTCCTCATTAGAGGTGCACTCTGTGGAGTTCAGTATTAAGGAGTTTAGCAGGGTTGTCATTTTACAAAATGGGGATTAATAGGCAGCTGAACTAGTCAGTTAATACGTACCTGAAGCCAGAAGATATTTTCTGAAACTTAGAAGCCCAAAGGCTTTTTTTTGTTGTTGTTGGTTGGTGTTTGTTTTGTTTCTTTAAACTTGAAACACAACAGGGGGTGTGTAACCCTTACTAGTCTTTCTGCTCATTTCAAGACCAACACAGACAGAAGTCTGTTCTTTTCAAGTTGAATGTCCACTCTCTGCAACTAACACTCTTCAGTAAAGCTTGAGACATACAGAGGAAGGAGGACTAGAATTAAACATACCCATGTAGGTAGCTGTCAAATGGGATACCGGGATCAAACAAGAAGTGTTTATTCATAGTAAAACATGAAAAGTATCTTGGGAGATATAAGAGCAACCCAAACTGCAATTTGGTGAACGGCTAACACACCCTTCGGGACCAGAAGACTTGAGCTGAACAAGCCTTCCAATCTCCTATTAAAGAACATTTATCCAATTCAAAATTCATAAAAAGCCATCACAGAAAAAACTGGCAGTTTATCAGAACCAATATTTTTTTGTTTGCAATGCTGCAATTAGCAAGTTGCTAATACATAATGAAGCAGGCTAAACTCACCCTACCTGACCAAACCAGGATTCACAACTAGTTTGAAGAAAGACAACTTCTCAACTTCAATTATTGAAGGTAACTCGTTGTGTGCTATTTTACCTGCTCTGCTCCATTAAAGGCAAGTTGTTGCTCTAGCTACTTTTCACTGCAAACTCAAACTGAAAATCAAGTTTCTACCTCTTCTCTAACTTGCACTGATGAAGAGAAGTTTGAAGTCTTGGCTTTAGCCTGATGGATTGTCAATAGTTACGGTGAGAAGCTGTAGTTCTACTGCCATATTCGCAGTAGAGAAGAGTTTAGTGGTTGCCTTGGCAGTGCTAGGTTTATGGCTAGACTAAATGACGATCATAAGGGATTTTTCCAACTTAAATGATTCCATGAATAATTTTACTTGAGCTAATCTGGCTTGATTCAAGCGAACAGGCAACCAACCCAAACTCAAGTTGGACCACTGAAGTGAGGACCAGTCATTAATCACAATAGCAGTTTAGCTTCCCACACACCATATGAGAGCAGACATTGCACATGAAGAAGTGAGAATATTCTGTTCTTATATTACAAAGGAGATAGAAGAAAAGAAGTAGAAAAAAAAAACCTCCACCACTACTTGAAAAAAACTTTCCCAAAGAGCACAGTGTCAAAGATTAAATGCTCCCCCCTGATCTGATGGAATCACGTGTCTCTGATTTTGACATCAAGTGGAAACCGGTGGAAAATGCAAGATCTAAAGACGCTACTGCTCTCATTCCATTCTTAAGTTAAACCACACCTACTCTATTTCACTCTTTGGTTGATTTTGTGACTAAGGCTGTACCAGCCACTCAAAGCAACATGATGCTTGTCACCACTGCAAAGCACATGCCTCTTTACATTGTCCAAGGCTAAGCTTCATTGCCTCAAACTGTAGGCTGTTCCTATGACTTTCAGACCCTTACAAACCCAGCAAGTTATTTATTAGTCAGCACACCAAAGGCCCTAAAAGGCATTATCTTACATCTACACTACTACAAAAACATATCCATTTTGATTAATTGGTCTACTGTACTCTTCGTATCTTCCAGACACCTTTTAAAATAAACTATCATTTTCCCTTTTTCAAATATCACTCAGATATGGGTGACTCATATCAAATGCTAGCTTGCTCTTTTTTAAAGGTACAATAACTTTAAGTTATCATTACGTTTGTTCTAAGCATGACTGGGCAAAAATTTCACAACGCAACCTTTTCCAGTGGCATCAACACTGAAGACTGGATCGGTAACCCTGAGTAGAAAGCCATCTGCCCAATCAAGGAAAAACATGGAGTATTACTCACTCTTACACAGTGCCTACCCCCAGTATAGATGAGACTAGATCAAGGGCAGCTAAAGGATTCAGTATGGAGATTCTACAGTAGCTGATGTTTCTGCACAAAGTAGCCAAAGGAAGAATGGGGCAGAGCTGCAATAATAATAATAATATGCCTATATATATACACCTGTATACAACTGTACACTATCTTCTACAGTCCATGGCTTTGAACATATACTGTGCTACCAGGCAAAGGACAAAAACCTGGCCATATTTGTGCCACAGTTCACACATATAAATGAACAGTACTTGCAAACTCACTACTTCAGGGACATGGACACAGAGCAAAAATGAAATTTCTCAGCAGGACCATCCCCTCTTTATTACAGAAATAATATAACAGCACCCCCAATTCATCTGGGCATATACATGCTGATGCAGCTTTGAAATGTAAGTCAAATGTATGTTTAAAAAATGCTTTGAATAGTTGCACATCAGAGACACTGATGAGAGATAAATAATCCCCAGTGGCCTGCAATTTGAAACATGCAGCAGATTTTTTCCCTCTAGGAGTTTGTTATGAATACTAACAATGCTTTCCTTTTTTAGGTTCCTAGTGACATAACAGGTGATCTGAAGGAAACTATTTTGCTGCATTTCTAAAACACAATTCTTGAACACTGTGCTGGAGGACTGTTTTCCCCATTAGGAAACCGCCTATAACACACAAAGCATTGACAGTGACATCACACTTGCATCATCTTTAGGAAGCCTCAAAAGGCAAGTACTTTGCAGCAATTTCATTTTTAGAAAGTACTTTTGAGTTTCAGAAAGGGCCAAGAAAATCTTTCTGGAAGGTGGACACATTTGACAGCACAGTCCCAACTACTGAACACATGAGCCTATTTTTCAAACAGCTACACATTCTGTGTAGAATGCTCTCTGCTGTAAATTGAGAACAATTATGTGGAAGTCAGAAGTTGCACTGCAATAAACAGGTGCTGAAACTGCAGTCCTAACTCTTTAAAAACAATGTGTAAGCAGACAGATAATATCAAGAAAACTATATACACTCTGATAATCCACTGTTGACAGGTGAAGATTCTACCAACTTCCTACTAACAAAGAAGAAATGAACAGATACACGTTCAATTCATTCCACTGGAATTACCTGTTTAGTCAAGTGTCAGTGAATTGTCATGTCTCCCAGCAGTTACAAAGGTCTAGTCTTTCTACAAGTAATATCCTGAGCTTATGCTCCCATCTCTCCCAGCAAACAAAAATAACTGCAAGCCCTGCTTCTTTCAGTACATTATAACTATGTGCATATATTGGACAGATAAACATGCAGCTTAAGGCCTGAAATGCCTATTGAAAGAAACAGTTTACAACTGGCTTAAGAAAGAAGAGCACGGAATCAAAGATTTTTCCTTTTTTTACCATTATTTCCCAATCCTGAACAGGATTCACACCTGCAACACTTAAATCAAGATCATAAACATGGTCATGGATGATAAAAAGATTGAAAGCATGATTGGAAGTGACTTGTTAACACCGTAAGCCTACAGACAATGCAGCTCAGCAAGTTCAGCTATTACTTGGTCAATACTTCGCATTTGGCTTAATGGAACATGATGGATAGCCAAACGAGAGGCAGTGTTTCAACATCCTGAGTCAAGCAAGTATCCAAATACAAAAAAAGCAAAACATTTCAGATTCAACAAAGCATACACCTACCTCTTCACACAAATGCAAGTGCTGTAGGAAGCAGCAATGACCTTTATACAGCTTACTTTGAAATCTGTTTCAGAACTTTTCTACCAATTCCCTCAAGACAAAATATGAAAATGTTTTAAAAAACAAAATGAAATCTTACGGCTTGAAATGCAGTAAGCCAGCCTGCAGTTGATCCTCCTGAACAGTTGCTTGTTGATTGGCCAAAGTATAAGCGTAAAGAGTTGAATGAAGTTAATGATCAGTCCTGACACAATAAATATGTAGCAGATCAGAAGGTGGCAAATGAATTGAGACTTCAGAAAGCCAACGATGTCCATGATTTGCTGAGAAAGCAAGAGGGTACCTTCAGATTCAAAATTCAGAAGACAACCTGCAAAACCAAATATCAGCAGTTACTGAGTGCATTTATTTCTATAAACAGACTGTTAATACAGACTTCCTGGTTTACACTTAAATACACTAAATACGCTAAAATTAAAGTTAATTGTATTGTAGAAAAAGCCCTGGTGACAATATTTGCAAAAGTAAGCACGGAAGGAAGATATCATATTTCTGAATCAATTTACATTTGGCTTTGGAAACAAATTCTCACATTTCAGTCCTAATTCTGCAAAACCCATGAGCATTCCATGGACTACAGTATTCCTCTATCAGGTCTTTATTGATAAAATACGAGCAAAACAATCCCCTTATATTTTGATTTGAATTGTCCATACTTCATAAGACACATACTGTGGCCTCCGCCATCTTCAAGAGCAGCTCCAAAGTAAACACAAGTTTTAGGGCTTTATGTTAGAAGTTGTGCCTTCCTCTACTACAGGCTATGCCAGCCATGCTCCCCAACCAAGAGATAGCAGCAGCCCCTTAGTTCTAGCTTTATTGGCTTGTTCCCTTGTCACATTCAAACAGCAGTTGATTTTGGCTAACAAAAGCTTTGGAAAGGACTGTTCAACCTTAGTAGCTGCACATTCAGAGGAAGCAACCCCTGCCCAGTATTCTGGCTTACCCAATATCATACTGACCTCCCCTCACCATCACTACCACCAATGCTAGTCCCATCTGTTAGGACAAAATACATGAGGAAATGACCTGTCAGTAAACAACACTCCAGTATTTTGAATACAGTTAAGCAGGAGGTGCTGCCATTCTGTTCCATTCCTCTTTCTCCCTCTGAGGTGTAGGACAGAGAACTGCCCAGGGAGGAAGCCCGAGACAGAATTTCTGAATGTGCCAGTCATAAGCAATAACAAATCAGCAGCTGTCAGCATCCCAGGGAATTAACTGCTGAAAAAAAACTTTATTCCTATCCTTTTAGTTTATGTGAGACCCCATTATGTGAGGCACCGAGTCTAGATGAGTGTCCTGAAACATTTGTTTTACTGCCCTTGCTGACGATTCTTACCACAGCAAAGAGCACACACAAGAATTGCTGCAAAGTGATGGGAAGTTATTTAGCCTGGTTTTCTGCCACAAAGAAGATAAAAAAAAAATTAAGAACAAGAATCTGTATTGTTATATAATTTACACAAAGAATTTATGGCAGTCCCAAGCCTATTATTAGCAGACAAAATGTGCCCTTTGTGTATCCCAGACTTTGTTCCCTTTCTCTTGCTGTACTATTCAGTACCAAAGCAGACACCATCTGTAGCTCAGAATGGCAGAGCAGGCCTCTGTTCATTGTACTAACTACTGTCATGACACTTGTGAAAAGCTTTTCCAGCTTTAACCAACCCTCCTATTAAAGCCATATTTGTGAGGGTGGCAGACAACTTATTAGCATGGGCCTTGACCAAAGGCTTTGTTTTTGTAGAAGGCTAAGTAGGGTGAGAAACGTTGTCCAGTAGGAACCATTCATGCCTCAGCACCTCCATCATACACACTACAAAGACAGAGACAAACACTTTAACAAAACAATCAAAAAAAGGCAAACCCCAGTTTTGAATAGGTTTACACTGAAAGATACAAGATTTCACTTCCCTAATGCAGACTACCTTACTTCACCAAGTAGCACGATTAGATCACTTCTTTAAAATAATCAAGAGTGGAAGCAGCCAGCTACTTACAAGTGGATGGTTTAAGGCTGTGCAGTGTCCAAAACACTGATGACTGGGTTTATCCTACTGTCCTCAGCTAAAACTGATCAAAAAGTTTTTTGTGCTAGATGGCCTGTTTAATTCCATCCCACAGCATCACTCTAATCTAATGTAATTCCCAGAGATCAGTTAAGGGAATAGATCCAGAAAATCCCACACACAAAGTAAGTAGTCAGTGCTTTACCCTTACAATGGAGACCTGAAAATTCACTATTTGATATAAACAACAGAAACTTACAGTAGCCAGCTGTTGGTCGTACACTTGGTGACAAGAAAAAAAATCACCAGATCATTAGTCCACCAATTCAGGTTTGGTTTTTCTTTTTTCGTTCTAGTAGTTGTTAAGCTGTGTTAAAATGTTATGTTTATGTGGAACATTTACTTCACACTGCATCTTTAGAACAAAACTTTACAGAATCAAAATAAACAAAGATGAGATGACCTTGATAAAACAAAATTACTGTCTTACAATTTTATGAAGCCACAACGGAATGTTTGAAAGCAATTTAGTCCTCACGTTAATACCCGAGTCATCACATTTCAATTCTGTGAAGCTAAGACATGTTCTAATGGCAAACTAAATCTACCTAATCAGTACTACTAAAACGCACTTAACCTAACTTGATTGTAAAAGGAACAAGAAATTAGAGTCACTGCTTAAACTTTGCTTTCCTAAAAAGGAGAGAGACTAAAGAGATTTAATTGCTCTTCTGATTAAATGCAAGCTGTTTTCCCTACAAAATTTGCAGCCCAACTATTGCACACAGAGTGCTAGCCAAGTGTTTTGTTTCTCAGACACAACCTCATTCTTCTAAGATTTTTACAAATATTACAATTTTTGGACCTTTTTCATTACCCAGACTCCAAGAAAGACAGTTTATTCTTGGTGCAAGCAACAAAAACATAGAAACTTATTTTCAAGAAAGAATTCTGAGCTTATGAAAGAAGTCTAGACACTTGCTTTTTAAGAGTCACAGGAATTTGCTTTTTGTCTTACAAAAGTTCCTCATGGGTAACATCAATGTAACACCAGTTTAAGTGATAAAAGAATCAGGTCTTTAATTCTTAATCCATGAGGCTGGTTTAATAAATTACACTGATTTCCTTACAGATAATGGTTGAAAATTATAGCAATCTTTTGAAAACAAAAGGACCAATCAATGCATTTTCTCAGAAGCTATTAAGATGGGAGAGCTGCCAAGAAGCTCTCTTCTATCAAACACTCCTTAAAACAAATTAGGAGAAAACAGCCAGCCAGAGCATCAAAAACAGATAGTGACATTCTAACAGTTTTGCTTTGGATATAAAACAAAAGACTCAAACCTCAAATGTGTGTCTAGGGAGCAAGTCAACAAGCATCTATTCATGTGACTAAGACATCAGAGGATCAGGTTTAAAAGCAAGCTCCACGACTATTCATTCTACCTCTTTTTTGCCTCCAAGTTACATTCTTTGGCAAGATCCACTGTTTTCTAGTTCAACTACTCTCAGGATTTCCTTTTGCTTAGAAAGGCTGACCAGGAGGACACAGGATTGATATGCAAGGTGAGCACCTCTCACCCAGCACAGGCTGCTGCCAATTAATAATGCTATTCCATACATCAAAGTCTGTAAGAGTTTTGAGACTACAGCTAGTGATCTTGTAAAGACTGTAACTGCTTGCACTTCTACAGAAAGCACAAGAATGAAGCAAAGAACAGCCACCCACCTTGTCCAATTTATCTAATAAATTGAAGTGCTGGGGTTTAAACCCCCATCCCTGAACGAGGGGTGGCATATATATGATGCCCACAACCAGGCAAGGAAGACCCTCCTGACTGGTTTTCACCCAGGGTCTGGCTAGCCTTGGGTGGGAACTGATTAGGGGATCACCACCAGGTGCCCTCACCTTCACTATTAACATCTTGTCCTGCCTCCAAGTTAATCATGTAAGAGCTGGATCTGCTTGTAGTGGTGTTGAGAACCCGACCTACACAGTGGATGTGCTCTGTAGGTTTTCCAGTTATTGGCAAGGCTTCCCCAACTGCCTACAGCAGGTAGAGTTCCCCAGCAACAACAGGACAAGATGAAGGACAGGAAGAGAATTATGAGGCTTTGTCTCAGGAATTACTAGATGACTGGGATCAGGCTGATAGCCCGGCCTACTCCTTCCCCCATGGCCTGGTTTTGGAATCTACTTGCTCCCTTCTTTGCTGCGTTATGTGTTGTGAGTGAATATATTGGTCTATTCATTCTTCCAGTGGTGGGCCACCTTGAATCTCTTGCATATGATCTAAGACCAGAGGGATGAATCTGGCTCATGTATTGCCCATTAATTAGAATACCCTTCCTAACTGGGCAAGCAGTCAGCAAAAGATAAAAAGAGCTCTTAGAGTGTGGAACACAACATGGAACCTATCTGACGGCATCTAGACTAAGCTAATATTGTCCATGCTTACAAATAGAGGCAAGATAGCACTGTACCCAGTTATTCTCAGAACAGCATGTTTCAAGCCTACACAAAGGTTTTCACTTATGTCTACTCTTTGATTAAGTCCTTAAATGCTTTTCTTCAAGTTCAGAACAACTACGTAGTGCCTCTAAGTGACTTTCAGTTGCCACCAGAACGGCACAGATAGCAGCAATGTATTTCATATCAGAATCCATTTTAATGATGCTTCTACATATGAATTATGCTTTGTGCTCTTCTGTTTCTGTCAGTGAGCATCAAAAGCTAGCAAAAGTGAGGTTGCGCCCATGTATGCATTTGCCTTCAAGGAGAATGGATCTGTACTTGCCCCCCCCCCAGAAAAAAACAACCAACCCAAATCTGGACAAAGAATTAGCCACGTATTTACCTGATGCTTAATTAGGATTTGAACCACTCCCATCTCCCCCAAAGGCAACTGCTAGAGCATTACGTCCACTGTTGGATTTACATGGCATGAATTTTTTAATGGGGGGGAGGGGCTGCAGGGATGGCTTCTGTAAGAAGACACCAAGAGCTGCCCCTCACATCAGACAGAGCCAGTTCCAGCCAGGTCCAGAAGGGACTCAGCACTGCCCAAAATGGAACCCGTCAGTGACACTGGTGGCACCTCTGTGACAACATATTTAAGAAAGGGTAAAAAATGCTTCACAGCAGCTGTGAGTGAGGAGTGAAAAAAGCATGACATAAACAGCCATGCATACACCAAGGTCAGTGAAGGAGAGGAAGGAGGTGCTCCAGGCACTGGAGCAGTTATT